TTAGAATTGACATTTGGAGAAATGACGAGTTTGAATGATTAAGAAAATGCAGTATGATACCTGTGATCATGAAAATCTATGAATAAATTGCATCTTCCTATAAATAAGTTAGCAAAGGCATACATTTCCTAACATGGCAAAAGGTCATGATTTTTTTTGTTTAAATGGCGACAGGTAATGAAAACAACACAGGCTTTTGAAAACAGATCATGGTAAAGTTATCCTTTAATGTAGCTGTTGGGATTTGTGATCTCTTGCTATTTATCAAGTAAAGTTAAACACTGTGATGACTGCAACCATTACATGGAATTGTTAATACTGCAAAGGACATTGACCCAGGGATATGCCATGCAGTTGTCTTGTAACATTGCTTTAAATTTAGTTATGAGGAAAGTTGCATGTATATTAAAGGTTGCTGTTGGGAGAACTATTCTCTGGTTAGGCTTATTGGTTTGAAAATATGCATTTGTGTTCAAATAATGCATGAAATGATAGTTTGAGCGATTTTGTGTACTATCCAATTCAATTCAATTCAATTCAAATGAACATTTATTTTCTTCCATTCAATTTGACAACATATTTGACATTTGTTCAAACAATACAATTTATACGTAGGGACATAAATATATTATATTAATTAAAGAACTTGTATTACAAGGAAGAAGGCGCGAATCTTGATAAGCATATAGCTTGTAATGGGTACGCCCAAATACATAGTACATTATAAATAGAAGAAAGGAAGAAAGGAAGAAAGGGGTAGGCAAGGAGGAGAAGAGGATAGAGAGCTTGGAGAAAGAGAAAAGAAGAGGACTGCAACATAGTAGCAATGGAGTGTATGGCATGCATAAACAACATAATGGCAAGATATAGGTGAAGGGTATAATGTGGAAATATTAGACTGCATTTTTATATAATGTGGAATATGGAAATATTAGACTGCATTTTTATATAGCTTTTTTATAGGATGGGTATTGATATAACAGTAAATAAATAAATATGTATGTATGTTTACATAATTAAACACATGCATACACATCCCCTTATACAATATACACACCACTACAGGGAAATGGCGTCAACCGTGGACCAAGTTTAGTACTTGTGTGTGTGTGCGTAGGTAATCACTAGCAACCGCGGACCACTCCATAGAAAACTACATCAAACCGCGGACGTACCTCCTATGGGATGATCCAGGTAACGAGCGCCTCTCCCGCGCAGTCAAAAGGGGGCGCTGTGACATTTCGCGATACACATCGGACTGATCCAGTCGATGTTGCCTACACGTTGTGACATCTAATATTCAAACGCCCCCTACGTCGTAAATTTGATACGGCAGAACCGGTATCGCAACCGTGGACGGTCCCCCATTGCAGGTACGTCCGCAGTTTGAGGTAGTTTTCTATGGAGTGGTCCGCGGTTGCTGGCGTTTTCCCACGCACACACTCGTCAACCTAATCGGGTTTAGGGCTGAAACTTATGCACTGTAATTTATAGTCATACATTTTTTAACAGAGATACAGATTTTCTCAGAGGTTCAGGTAAATCGTTCCAAAGCTTAGGACCGGTAAAACGGATATTATTTTGAAAAATACGTTCATGGTGTTTGGGAATATAGATTTCTTCAGATGATCTGGTAACATAGGCTTACTTATGGATATCTGAAATACGTTGGAATTGGCTGCTGAACTTAGAAGGTAGTTGTGAGTTCAGACAGTTATATAGTCACTACATTACGGTAATGTACATTGTTGAAGATTATTTACATCTTCAATACGAAGCAACCTAAAAGGGATAGTTGAGTTCTGTAACTTCTGTTGCAGAGGGCGCTACACAAAATATTTTTGTTGTGAGATAATGAAAAACTGAGTGTCAAAGCTGAAAGAACAATTTAAATGATTAAATCATCTTTGTTTGATCAAAATCGGTTCAGAGACGTCTGAAATATCCATAAATATAACGATTTATAATATTGTGTACCATCACAAAAAAGAAATAGCACCTTTTACGTCGTATTCCAGCCAATGTCGATGATGGCTTTTTTGTTGGTATTTTCGTGTTGGTTATATTACGCACAACCAGCCGGCCCTTGTATTGTTATTTTTAATTAAATAATTAATTAACGGTCACTGTCACTAAATTTCACACATTTTGCGGTCTAAAATTTTAGGTACTAAAAGGGCACTAGAAATGTCATAAATAAGAATAAGAATAAACTATACCTTTAAGAGAATTAAATAAGGGATCGCTACTGGATTGTGGGTGAGAAACTGATATGATACGTAAAACCTTATTTTGCAGTGCACAAAGCTTTTTTTAGACTTTACTCTGGGAAGAATATTATTATTTAATTTGATTTGTACAGAGCTAAAGTCGGGAGATTTTGGAGAGCTGTAAAATATCATGTAGTTATACATTTCTTGAAGTTGATTGTTGATTTATTGGCAGCAAACCAATTGCAGACATTTATTAATTTGGATAACGTAGTATTACTCAGTTGAAATGAAGTATGCCCAATATATTGCTAGAAATGTCGAGTTCATAGTATTTTACTATATTTTGTTGTATCTATTTGAAACATTTTTATATTAGCTGTGATGTATTTTAATTGTAAGAATAGCATTTTACAGCTATCAAGAATTATTAAATTGCTACCATTATACTCGTCTGATTATAGCAAAATGTATGAAAAAGCTTCCTATCACTTGGCTTTATGGAAAAAAACCCAACCAAACAACAATCAACAATAAGAATACTTTGCTGTTTTAGCTGTATCACAAACACTTTGAAAGTTTTTTTTTTCTTCAAATTTCCTACTGCATTCTAAATTCAGGGGGAAAGTTGTGTGTGTGTCAGGGGGGGGGGGGGCGTTCAGGCAACATTTGCTGACAAGGTTAGACAAAAAATACTGAAAGGAAACAAAAAGAATAATAAGAATAATGACAAAGAGCCTCTATTCTGCATACACTATACAAAAAGTCAGTGAAATGGTCATGGGTTTACATGTTGTTCAGTTTGTAATTCGGTTCTTTTGAAAATAGTCCTGCTAGAATGCAATTAACGCACTAGTTTTCGTAATGAATTACTGTGATGGCTATGGAAGGTAGCGCATCTTGCTGCATCATATGAGATAACTGAAATATATTTATGGTTACTTTCGCCAAAGTAAGGTTCTAGAAATTGAATTAAAATATCAATGCATTTCATGTACTATGAATCATATTAAACAATAAACGCCATTGTGCATTTGGAAATTAAATGAAAATTATTTAGATGTAGCACTATAGAGCCCATCATTAGTTTTCAATTCTTGTCCTTAAAATTTTGCATTTATCAAAAAATTCAAATACGTATATTGAGTGATATGATTATGAATTATAAAGTAAATTTGTTTTTTAATGAAAAATGTATTATTCACATTGAATAAAAACAAACTTTGATGACAGATTAATAAATAAACGTTATTGCAGTTTATTATTCGTGTGGTGTAAACTAACTAGAAGAGTGTGAATGATATGAAATTTGAATAATATGGGTAATACATTTATTATGGAGTATTTAAAGTTGCCGAAAACAAAGAGTACCGTAGGGTTACACAGAATTTGAAGAGTAACATGATACGTCGACTCGTGAATCATGTTATATTACGGAGTGAAGAGCTTTCATGTTTTGAGAGATTTTTTTTTGAAGTGGCAAGACGCTGTAAATGTATGTAGCATTGAAATTAGCCGGAAACATGAAGACATGTTGACAGTTTAAAGACCGTTTAAATACAGATTTTGATTAAGCTTATCTTGATTTTTGAAATTCATATGCATTTCGAGATACATTGTCTCAGTAATTTTTAATGTTATGTTGTAGATAAGTTCTCAGGAACAGAACATTAATAAGTAAACAAAAGAAAACAAAACAATAACAACAGCTAACAAAAAAAGAAAAAAAAGAACCATCCCTCAACAAAATAATAACAACAGCTAACAAAAAAAGAAAAGAAGAACCACCCCTCAACAAAACAACAAAAAACTGATGAAAACTTATTGAAAAATTGCATTCTCTGAAAGCACAACACACGTATGCACACCAGGGGACCCTGAGAGGGGGGGTAAAGAATTTGTATTTGCGGGTCAGAGAATTTTAAATGTACATTAGCCCCTCCATTATCATAAAATCTTGGATCCATCTCTGCTTTAGTTAGTCGTTTTGAGAGAACTCTATGGCCCAAATTCACAAAGGAGGTTTGTCGACAAACCGAGGTTTATGTACGTCATATGAAGCGTTTTGACACGTTTTTTACAAACCTGGTTTGTAAATAACAAAAGGAGATTTGTCGACAAACCTCCTTTGTGAATTCGGGCTATCAGGTTTTTGGGAGTTCACACAAAGTAATCCAGAAAGGATGAAGAACATATCAATCATCTGTATATACAGTCAGTGGAAACTCATTATAAAGAGCTCTGAATCAAGAGGCAGGCGCGTACGCAGAGGAGGGGGGGGGGGGGGGGGGGGCCTTCAGCACCCCCCAACAAAAAAAAATTAATGGTAATTACCTCCCTGCCCCCCTTGTTCACCGGCTGGCTGATTTGCTGCCAAATATTTTTTCAAGGATTGGGGAAAAAAAAATACATTAATGATGCAATCCAATTTTAAAACACTCCCTTTGAAAAAATCCTACGTCCGCCACTGACAAGAGGTATCTGTTATAAAAACGTATCATTACTATTTTTTATATATTTTTACCATGATACAACAAGATTCCTGATATAACAAAGAAATTTCCATGGTCCCAAGGACGTCATTGTAACACCAGGTTGCACTGTATACGCATAGAACTTTGAAAAAGAAAGGTGCAATTTTCATTGTGAATAGGGAAAATTTTATTTTACAAATCAACAAAATATGTACAACATCGGTGAATAAAATGCAATACATGATGTATTCATAATCACGACTACACAAAGTTCTCAATTTACGTTGGTCAGTATTCTATATACTTTTGGGTAGAACTCAAGCACAACTGCTTAAATCTCTTTGTAAAAGAAAGAACTCATGGAGCAGTAGCAGTTTTAGAGGGTTTTTATTTTTATTTTATTTTATTTTTTATTTTTTTTTTTGGGGGGGGGGAGCTTAACCCCCTCCCCAAATTTGCTGAAAAGTACATTTGTTTACAAATAGCTTTTGACACTTCTCTTAGGTGTATTAAATTGATAGAATCATCATCTTGAATAGAAAGACATATTTTGTTATTAAGCCTTGTGAATGAAAAGTGGAGCACATAAACAAGTCACAAGGGCTTCAGAAAAAAAGTAAATCACACACATACTCATTAAATTCATATCTAATTCAATAATACACTGGTTAGCAGAAACCTCTGGAAAAAAGAGCATAACATCGGAATTGGAGGATTTTCTTTTAAATATTATACTCAACATTGGAATCAATTCCAGATCAGACTCAGCTCGAAGCAGATAAGTACAGAGAGTAGTTGATCAAGAGCAGTTTATTCAGACTCTGCAATGACTGGAGAGTTATATAGATTAATTTGTTGAAAGGGCATAAGGACAGTACTTGTTGTCACATTTGCTGTATGCATACTTTGTTAAGAATTACATGTACATGTACTTTTTTTCTTCACTGATCTTGAGCATCCCAAAAGAGGCTCACATCCTCTGTAACAAGCTGTCTCAAACTATTCTTTTCTACAAGAACTCATTGTTGAATCCCATAGTTCTCAGAATTCATGACAGTTGGAGAGTTACATATCACTAAAATATACCATGTCAGCTTAAGGCACACTTAGTTTTAATAGAGGAGGAGCGATGGCTTAGTGGTAAAGCAGTAGTCTCATAACTAGGAGCTCCCGATTTTGAAACCAAGTTGATGCGCTGTTGCCCTTCGGAGAGGCATTAACCTTCATAACCAAGTCCCTTAGAGAGGACTTAAAGCCATCGGTCCCCTAGTTCCTCACACACACTTTCTTAGCAGATGGAAAAAACAAACGAACAAACAAGCAAACAAACCAAATTAATTAAGTTTACATCCATTACTGAATGTCCAGAGCTGACCGTCACACTGAGTGAATGGGAGAACGTTAGCTTGGTGCACACTCCATGTCTCCTTCCTTGCTTTCCTTCGTCTTCTGTATCTCTGCAATAACTTGTTTCTCTAACGCTAGAATCTCAGCTGGCTTCTTGTACTGTATAAACAGAACAAAATGAAACAATCTGATAATTGCATTTCGATTCACACTATACTATTCATGTTGAAACTGTTCAGATGAACCCTCTTGAAATTAAGGGGTACAGATAGTTATCGCCCTGCAAACCCTGAATGGAAATTGAAAGCCTGGCTACATGACCTGCTCAACATTGAGTAGAACGTATATGAAATATGTTATGTAGTTTTGGATGACACTACATGTAAATGTACATGCTACATATAGCTAAATCAAGTAAAAATGTAGATTTCACAATTGTATAAATGTTCACACCACTATGTGTTTCTAGTACTGTATAACTCTACTAATACCCCTTCACATACACGGATACACAAATTCACGGATCCTTACAATTTGGCCACTTTTAAGACCGATTTAAGAGTTGTTACGGGTCATTACCAGCTATTTACGGTTTATGACGGATTATTACGAGTTATTACAATGTATTTGCGGCAAAATTCCACAAGTTGTTACGAGTTGTCACGGATAATTACGAGCAACTTACAGGCATTTTTCGACCTGTTTACGTGTTGGTACTAATAGTTACGAGTATTTACGAGTCCTTAGGATTTTGCAGCTTTTCCCAAAATCGTAAAAGATACGCAAGAATACGTAAAGTATATGTATCTATTCTTAAAACACTTTCAACTAGACGTGCTCGTAATAGCTTGTAACAATCCGTAAAGCCATCGTATTACGACCCCGAACTAAATTGTAAACAACGCATAAGCATTCGTAATAATCCGTAAACAATCATTTAACGAATCGTAAACTAACCGTAAAAAAATTGTTACAAACATTTTTACGAGTCATTCACAGATTTTTGTGAGGGGTTTATGAATGGTTACGTGTTGATGCGAGCCGTTTAGGATACTTACGGATTGTTATGGGCTATTTATGAGTTATTTATGGAAAAATAAATCTGTGGACAATCATTTTTGACATGTCAACAAATTTGCCTCTTCCTTCACGGATCTTTACGAGTGTCTACGAGTTGTGACAAGCTATTTACGGATACCATTGAGTTATTTACAGATGCTTGCGATTTACTACGAGTTGGCGATCCGTAAGGACTCGTAGGAAAATCCGTGTATGTGAAGGGGGTATTACATTGAAAATAAGAGTGTTATTACTCTGAGCCATACTGAAGTCTGATTGCTGAAGAGGTCCCCCCTCAACCCCCCCCCCCCCCCCTCCTCCGTTACAATCTGTGCTCTGCCCCTGATTTGTGATAGAGCACCAACGTTACTTACATTGATAATGAGGGTGTTATTACTGTGAACCATACTGAAGTCTGATTGTTGAAGAGTCCCCCCTCAACCCCCCGCGCCCCCCCCCCCCCCTCCACCCTAACAATCTGGCTCTGCCCCTGATTCGTGATAGAGCACTAACATTACTTACATTGATAATGAGGGTGTTATTACTATGAGCCATACTGAAGTCTGATTGCTGAAGAGGAAGACCAGCTCTATCCATGTCTGGTATGGAGAATTTCTTGTAGTACCTGCAAGTACAGAAGGAAATGACAAGAATCACTGTTACCTCATGTATTATTTTGAAGACAAAATTTATCTTGGTAGCCTTAAAGCCCTTCTAAAGAGTTGGGAGCCCAAAAATGTGATGGAAAATTGTATCACTATGTGAAAGAGGATGTCATTTTAAGGCTTAGACACAATTCTGCAAGGATTTTCAAAACTAATGTGTTTGAAGTTGAATATTGATGAAAGAATAGACAAAAATAAGGTTTTCTGCGTTCAAAAGAAAACCCAAATTATTTATTCTTCTATCAATATTTGTCTTCAAACAATTTTTTTTTTTTTTTTTTTTTTTGCAGAAGTGTATCTTAAATGACATCCTCTTTCACATTATGATACAATTCAAGTGAAATTTTGCCATCAAATTTTGGGCGAATCTGGGGCTCCCAACACTTTAGAGGGGCTTTAAGGGAATGTACATGAACAAAAAAGCTTACCTAAGTTAAAAGCATTACCAGGAAGTATCTCATAAGGTTTAATTGTGTGACTGAAGACAGCATAGATCTCTACTACAGCTTGAAATATACCAATTAAAGGACATTAAGCAAAGTGTTTGGTATGAGGTGGATTTTGCCTATCATCTTTTTAGTGTAGAGACTGAAAATATATTTTCATGATAATTTTTTGAAGCAAAATTATTTGGTAAAGAGTACTTATCTGACAAAAAGGCTAACTTCTACTAAAAAAAAATCTTGATATTTTCACTAGATATTTAGCTTTCTTTTTATATTTTGCCGCTGCCTAAAATAACTGGTCTTATTTTGGAGTAATTACATTTTTTTCGTTGGTACAGTCTGATGTCATAAATAGATTAGATGATTTCAAAATATCAGCTCTTTAACAAAAAAAATCTGTTCAATAGTTCTCAAGTTATCACAGTAACAAAAAGTGGGATGGACAACCCCAAAACATGCCTCCAGGCACCACCTTTGGTGACAAAGGCATAAAGAATTCAGAATGTTGGGCTTACTTTTTGTTTGATGTCCTGATAATGCAGCATCTGGTGTCTTGGTCGACTGACAAGCTGTATGTCTCAATAGGATATGGAAGATTACGTATTCTCCATTGGAATGCTTGGCGAGTGTCCTTTCTTGTAAAGATGGGCTGATAATAAACACAGAAAAACACAAATATCATTGATTACAATTTAAACTTGCCATACAACATACTTATAAATAACTATACCTGCTGTACATCTTTAGATGTTTTCCAAGCAGAAAGGGCTCACATTAAAGTTTAAAATACACATTCAACAACATTAAGATAAAAATAAATATTAAAGTTCTGCTAAAAGTGATACATGTATTTTGATTTTGAATTATACTACTTTTGAAAGTTACTTGATTTTTTATAGCTCACAACGAATGATTCCAAGCAAATTCTTTCTCCAGAATTTGTATAAGTTTTGCATTTGTATTTTCAGTTCACAGATAACAAAAGAAAAGAAAAGCAATCCTCTCAGTAAGACCCCGTTCTCACTCACTTCCTAGACCGATCCATAACATAAGGAAAGGTTATTGAAGGAAGAAACAAAGAGTTACATAAGAAAAAGTGATAAAAGGAAGTAACAAAGAATAACATAAGAAAAGGTTATAGAAGGAAGTATAAAAGGATTCGTAAGAAAGGGTTACAGAAGGAAGAATCATAATGAAAGGTTATTGAAGAAAGAAACAGAGAATAACATAAGGATAGGTTATAGAAGGAAGAAACAAAGAATAACATAAGGAAAGGTTATAGAAGGAAGTAAAAAAGGATTCATAAGGAAAGGTTATAGAAGGAAGAAACAAAGAATAACATTATAAAAGATTATATTAGAAGAAAGAAACAAAGAATAACTTAAGAGACGGTTATAGAAGGAAGAAACAAAGAATAACACAAGAGAAGGCTATAGAAGTAAGAAACAAGGAATAACATTATAAAAGTTTATAGAAGGAAGAAACCAAGAATAACGTAAGAAAAGGTTATAGAAGGAAGAAACCAAGAATAACATAAGAAAAGGTTATATGAGGAAGAAACCAAGAAAAACTTAAGAAAAGGTTATAGAAGGAAGAAACAAAGGAAAACATCAGGAAGTAAAAAAGGATTCATACAAAAAGGTTATAGAAGGACGAAACAAAGAATAACATAAGGATGGGATATAGAAGGAAGAAACAAAGGATAAAATAAGGAAAGGTTATTGCAGGAAGAAACAAAGGATAACATAAGGAAAGGTTATAGAAGAAAGAAACAAAGGATAACATAAGGACGGTTATAGAAGGAAAGCTGTGACACCCAGTTTCCTTGATTGAGACCGAAACTGAGACCAAAAGGTTATTGAAGGAAAAAACAACGGATAACATAAGGAAAGGTTATAAAAGGAAAAAACAAAGGATAACATAAGGACAGTTATAGAAGGAAAGCTGTGACACCCAGTTTCCTTGATTGAGACCGAAACTGATGGTATCAAGCTCCTCCTATTAATTTTCTTTAAAAAAAAGTCAGAATATTGAGATACATTGCTGAGTTTCAGAGCTCAAGGATCATTGAGCAAAGATACCTGCCTAGATAGAGAAACAAAGAATTACATAAAGAAAGGTTATTTAAGGAAGACACCAAGAATAACATACAATGTTAGAAAAGTTTATAGAAGGAAGAAACCAAGAATAACGTAAGAAAAGGTTATAGAAGGAAGAAACCAAGAATAACATAAGAAAAGGTTATATAAGGAAGAAACAAAGAATAACATAATAAAAGGTTATAGAAGGAAGAAACAAAGAAAAACATCAGGAAGTAAAAAAGGATTCATACAAAAAGGTTATAGAAGGAAGAAACAAAGGAAAACATAAGGACGGTTATAGAAGGAAAGCTGTGACACCCAGTTTCCTTGATTGAGACCGAAACTGAGACCAAAAGGTTATTGAAGGAAAAAACAAAGGATAACATAAGGAAAGGTTATTGCAGGAAGAAACAACGGATAACATAAGGAAAGGTTATAAAAGGAAAAAACAAAGGATAACATAAGGACGGTTATAGAAGGAAAGCTGTGACACCCAGTTTCCCTGATTGAGACCGAAACTGAAGGTATCAAGCTCCTCCTATTAATTTTCTTTAAAAAAAAGTCAGAATATTGAGATACATTGCTGAGTTTCAGAGCTCAAGGATCATTGAGCAAAGATACCTGCCTAGATAGAGAAACAAAGAATTACATAAGGAAAGGTTATTTAAGGAAGACACCAAGAATAACATACAATGTTAGAAAAGTTTATAGAAGGAAGAAACCAAGAATAACGTAAGAAAAGGTTATAGAAGGAAGAAACCAAGAATAACATAAGAAAAGGTTATATAAGGAAGAAACAAAGAATAACATAATAAAAGGTTATAGAAGGAAGAAACAAAGAAAAACATCAGGAAGTAAAAAAGGATTCATACAAAAAGGTTATAGAAGGAAGAAACAAAGGAAAACATAAGGACGGTTATAGAAGGAAAGCTGTGACACCCAGTTTCCTTGATTGAGACCGAAACTGAGACCAAAAGGTTATTGAAGGAAAAAACAAAGGATAACATAAGGAAAGGTTATTGCAGGAAGAAACAATGGATAACATAAGGAAAGGTTATAAAAGGAAAAAACAAAGGATAACATAAGGACAGTTATAGAAGGAAAGCTGTGACACCCAGTTTCCTTGATTGAGACCGAAACTGATGGTATCAAGCTCCTCCTATTAATTTTCTTTTAAAAAAAGTCAGAATATTGAGATACATTGCTGAGTTTCAGAGCTCAAGGATCATTGAGCAAAGATACCTGCCTAGATAGAGAAACAAAGAATTACATAAGAAAAGGTTATTTAAGGAAGACACCAAGAATAACATACAATGTTAGAAAAGTTTATAGAAGGAAGAAACCAAGAATAACGTAAGAAAAGGTTATAGAAGGAAGAAACCAAGAATAACATAAGAAAAGGTTATATAAGGAAGAAACAAAGAATAACATAATAAAAGGTAATAGAAGGAAGAAACAAAGAAAAACATCAGGAAGTAAAAAAGGATTCATACAAAAAGGTTATAGAAGGAAGAAACAAAGGAAAACATCAGGAAGTAAAAAAGGATTCATACAAAAAGGTTATAGAAGGAAGAAACAAAGAATAACATAAGGATAGGAGATAGAAGGAAGAAACAAAGGATAAAATAAGAAAAGGTTATTGCAGGAAGAAACAAAGGATAACATAAGGAAAGGTTACAGAAGGAAGAAACAAAGGATAACATAAGGACGGTTATAGAAGGAAAGCTGTGACACCCAGTTTCCTTGATTGAGACCGAAACTGAGACCAAAAGGTTATTGAAAGAAAAAACAAAGGATAACATAAGGACGGTTATAGAAGGAAAGCTGTGACACCCAGTTTCCTTGATTGAGACCGAAACTGAAGGTATCAAGCTCCTCCTATTAATTTTCTTTAAAAAAAAGTCAGAATATTGAGATACATTGCTGAGTTTCAGAGCTCAAGGATCATTGAGCAAAGATACCTGCCTAGATAGAGCATCTCTTTCATGCAATCTTCCTGACGTACATGTAGCAGCTCTAGGTGCCAGAAGAGGAAAGACTGAATGAGGTAAGGTTATATATTCAAACCTTTCATGCAATCTTACTAATGTACATGTAGCTGCTTGTGATCCAGGATAAATTCAAATTGATTTTGCGATGACGTTGGGACAAAAAAGATTGATGTTTGATAATTGATAACGATACCTTATATTGTTGTTGATGGACAGTAGACCTTATCTAGTGGATGGGGTGACAGGGTAGTATTGCATATGAATGAAGACATACATGTAACGTCCATGTAGAGACTGTACTCAGTGGGGGTTGTATTAATAGAAAAAAGATGTTAATTGTTTTAATAAACTTATATTAGCGCCCCTAAAGTGTTGGGAGCCCCCAAAATTTGATGGCAAAATTTCACTTAAATTGTATCATAATGTGAAAGAGGCTGCCATTTAAGACACATTTCTGCAAGGATTTTCAAAACAAATGTGTTTGAAGACGAATATTGATTAAAGAATACAAAAATTTTTTTTTCTGCGTACATCAGAAAACCCAAATTATGTTTTCTTTCATCAATATTTGTCTTCAGACACATTTTTTTTTTTTTTTTTTTTTTTTTTGGGGGGGGGGGGGGGAATCTTTGCAGAAGTGTATCTTAAATGACATCCTCTTTCACATTATGATACAATTTAAGTGAAATTTTGCCATCAAATTTGGGGCTCCCAAGATTTTAGAGAGGCTTTGAGACAGGCCAGTGGTTAATTTCTGTGCAACACGTGCAGCGAGTGTACCAATAACCAGTGTTTATTCTGCTGAAATATAAATTTTTATGACAATTAACATACACACCCAGATATCAATTTAACTTCTCACAGCTCACTGTATCCGTTACAAGTTAGAAAGCCTGGGCCCAAATTCAATTCAATACTTAAGTACAAAATTTAAGCCTTTTACTTAGTATTTGGCTTAGATAAAATACTTAGCTAATTTTGGTATTCAATTGAAACTCTTGGCTAAGTATTTTACCCTAAATTTAAGACAGCTCCCTTCCATACTTAAGCCAATTATTTGGAGGCCTCGATTGGCAGGCATATGGTTTTCTTACGCAGTATCATAACCTGCGCACAATTATATTAGCGTGCATTTATTGCAACGCATTAATTGCGCATCGCTTTTGATTGACCGTGTGATGTCACAATGCTTATCAGTACCAAATATTTTACTTAAATTTTGTCTAAGGTAAGTAGAAGTCTAAAATGCGATTTGAATACGAGATAAGTAAATTTCTTAGCTTAGCCATTTACTTAGTAAATTTCTTACTTATTCCAAGTATTGAATTGAATACCGGCCCAGGTCTTTAATGACGTGAGATATTTTTTTTTGTACATTACAGTGAAATAACGACCAACATCAGAATCAAGATGGACACCCAAACTGTAAACCTGGAAGGTACTACATCTATGGAACCACCTGAAGACACATCCTCTCTGTATGCTACTATTATAGGAGTCAAGCTGTAATCGTTGGTTCTTTACTCATTATCATAGGAATACTTGGTTCCTTTGGAAACCTGATGGTCATTCTGGCT